TTGCTTATCTTTCTATTTTCTTATTCATTAATTTATTTTTTATTTTCCTTTTCTTTTTCATTCGCCGTGTTCCTTTACGTTCAATGAAAAGAAAATTTTAAATTTATAAAGGAGTTTAGAAATATTTGCATATTTTGAAAAAAAAATTTCTTTTAACAATGAACTTGAATAATAAAAAAAGCATGTATAAAATAGTTTTATTTAAGTACACTTTTATAAATGTTTTCATTATAAAAAATGTTTTAATAAAAATATATAAAATAGAAAATTTTTAATATATCAGCTATATTTTAATAAAAAGTATTTTTAATAAAAACTGATAAATAAAATTTTAAATAGGTACGAATTTCGAAAACAAAATTTTTAATAAAATTTATATAAAGATAAAGAGTAAATAGTTTAGGTAGAGTTGAAATAAAGTTAAATAAAAATTTTGAAATAAAGTTTAAATAGCATTTATATAAAATTTGCATAAAGTTTAAATAAACTTTATACAAAATTTGCACAAACCATAAATAAAAATTGCTAAATAAAATCTAAAATGAGTTTAAATAAAATTTTTATAAATAAAATATAAACAGAAAATTTTAACGAAAAAAAAAATTGAATCTCATAAAAAAAAGAGATGGAGAAAAAGAAAATGATATAAATGATGAGAGAAGGAGAAGATAAATTTTAAATATAGAATCTCTAATAGAATTTTTTAAGAAAGCTCTCTTTTTGAGTATTTCAATAATTCTTATATTCAATTCTACAAACTTTTTTTTCCGGGTAAAATATTTTTAACGACGTGGTTTTTTTTAATAGAAAAAAAAATTTCTTGAATTCAGGGTTACACTGTGTGCATGTGGGGAGAGAGAGAGAGAGAGAGAGAGGGAGAAAAAAAAGAAAAGAGGAATTTTATTACGCCCTGAGGAAGAACGTCTTACCAGACATGAAAAGAGGAATTACGCGAATGATCTAAGGTCACAGCTTTATGAAAAAATTTTGAAATTGCTCTTTTTCAAATAAGCCGCGAGTATTTCAAAGGACCCGCGAGCTAGATTATACCAACAACGTTTTTACCTATCGGATTATATATATGTATACACAATTATATTTATTTTTTTCTTTCTTTTTTAATTATTTCGTTATATAATAACGATAATTTATTGATAATTTATTGCAATATATAATATTTGCAACATACACTGAAAAAATTTTTATTTTATTTAAATAACCGATTATTTCTAATAATAATTATTTACTTGAATCTAATAAATTTTTTTCAGTGTATTATTAATACAATTACTATTTAATTATTTATACTATTTGGTATTTTTAAATACAATTAATATAATAATAGTAATATCTAATGATAATAATTATTTTTCAGGTGGGAAAAAAAACCAGAGTTGCGAAGAATCGAACCCCATCTCGTCAGTTGCGAGACCAGCAGTAAAACCGCTAAGCCATTTCACTTTGTAAGTAACTTTTCTATTTTCAATGTAAAACCTAAACTATTTGGCAGTTTTGCCCATTTTTATTGTCAACTTTTATTATTTTTGTGCCTATTTTCGCTATTTTGATATTTTTTCGGAGTAAATTATACTAAAAAGAAAAATTAGTAAAATTACCTTTGAACGTGAAGGAAAATTTCTATTCGTTATTCAGGTCCTCGTCTTTCTTTCTACTATGTAGATATTAAATTTTCTTGAAACAAAAAAGATTTCAGTACAGAAATTACTATCAGTCGGTCCAAGTTTGATTTTTATGACATTTATTTTTCTGATTCTTCTATTTTTTTCTTCACAATCCCGTGTAGCAGACTGTCTTGATTTGATAATGTTGGATGATGTATGATAACATGCGTACAGTATCACAAGGCAGCACCTGGTATGGGATGACAGAAACCGTTTGAAGAATGACTTGCGTGTCACTGTGCAATTTCTCAAACTAGTGAAACTTGGATTTTCTACCAGCAAGCTTCCCTATATATACCCCCATAGTCACCAAAGCAATCTGACACTGACAGAAGACATTCTTTGTCAAGATCTATTCTCATGTCCTACTAAATACATAAACTTTGGACAGTTTCCATTTCACTGCTTCTACAATGTGTTCTAAATTAGTTCAGAAATTTTTTTTTTACTAATTCCCAGTTAGAGTGATAGACATTTTTTTTTTTTTGTAAAGTTGGTTAAAGTTGAATTGAATTTATTGATTTATTTGGATTTTGGAATTAGTTAATTCTTTAGTTATTTTATTTATTTAATTTATTTAATTAATTTAATTAATTAATCTTTTTAAATGATTAAATTTGTCGAAAATAGAAAAACGTGAATATTTTTGTCAATATTAAAAAGTGAATTCAACAAATTGGAAGAATTCCAGAGATGCTTTGAAAATAAAATTTCTCAAATGGGATTTATTAGTCGGACACAATAAATTCCGATCGTTTCTTGAAAATCCATTTACAAAGGCATTTCCAAACGAATAAAAGAAAATGATTTTGCTGCAATTTCCTTTAGATGGATTATCGGTTGACGCGGGCGTAACTGTTAAATTGCAATAATGAACGTTGTCATATTGAATCTCGGATATCTAATATATACTTTTCCAAGAGATGAATCTAATATCTTGTCGATTAGATGCGGTCGATGAAACTTGAGGAGTCTCTCGGCAAAGTATTATTTGAAATAAAATAAAAAAAAGTGAAAGAGGCTGATAAACTTTTGTATTAAAGAAAAAAAAAAAAAAAGATGAAAAGAAAAGAAAAGTGGAGAAAAAAGACAGGGGGAGAAATTCTCTGTAGGCTAAAATGAATTTATATTACAACAATAAGAAAAATGAAGATAGGGCCTGGTACGATCCAACTCCAAAATATTATATATCAGTCTGCACCTTGCAATACTATTTTATTTATATTTCTCACGCTATTTCTTCCAATAATCGAGTGCCATCTGGCATTTGTGAGCAGTTATTCTGGCATTGAGCCAAAATAATGTCTAGACCGGTTTACATACACCAAATGGTAACTTGCTGCCAAATTGACCGGATTTTCAGACAATTGTTGGCAAACTAACTTTTCAAAATGAATGCATTTTGTTGTATTTCATTCTTTTTTTTTAATTTAAATTTACGATTTTTGATAGAGTGCTTCTTATCGATAAAATTTTTTAATAATATTTGTTTTTTTGTTGATAATATTTATTCAAAATATTCATTTTAATATTGAAAATCTTTATAATTTAGACTTGTATAATATTTAAATTTACAATTTTTTGCTATTAGTCTTATGTTTAGTTTAATCTTTTATTTTTTTATTTTTTTATTCTTTTTAGTTTAATATTTGAGGAAAATATTTCTGCAAATATTACAGAAAAATTTTTATATTAATAACTAATCTAAAAAAATTTTCATTTTTTAAAGAACATTACTGAAATTTTTTAATATTCCTGAAATATTTTTTGCTAAAGACTTTATAAGAATATTTTTGAATTATTTTCGTTTCTTTTTTTTGGATTTACATTTTCAAAAGAAGGGAAATAAATAGGAGGAAATAAAAATACCTTTAATTGGCAGTGACATTTTATTTCTGCAATTGTGATAGAAAAGTACAACAATAATGGTAACAAAGTTCAAGTGTGTGTCAAAGACAATTTTGTTGGCTACTCAATTTTTTTTTTTTTTGGTAAAATAAAAAATTATAAAAAAATAACTATTAAAGAGACTCGGTGCGTGAAAGATTTTCGTTTCAAGTACCATATGTAGAGAAAAATATTGTTGAAAAATTGTGCAAATTCGTCGGAAAAAGTCAAGCTTCGACAATTGGCTACAATCGAGAAAAGAATTCGTAGAAAAATAGAAAAATAAAAATTGTTGCCTCTTTATTTAGTAAATGCGTCTTTTCCAATGCACTCCAAGTCGACCAGCGACTTTTCGACGAGATAACGAAAAAAAAATTGCTTTAACTTCACAGGAAAATAATTAGAAAATCTTATTTTAAAATTCGTCTAAAATTGAAAAAAAAACGCTAAAACGAAATAAGAAAAATCCTGTCGAAAATGTTGAAAATTTTTTAAAAATATTCCATGAAAATGTTGACAATCAGAATAAAAATCCGCTGATAAAATGAACAAAGTTTTCCATAATGATATCGAATCATAATTTATCTTAAATTCAGCGCAAAAATACTGACAATCAGAATAAAAATCCTGTTGAGAAAATTAATAAATTTTTATTTAAAAATGTTGAAACTTAAATGTTTTCAAATCAGTAAATAAAATCGTGATTAGTACCAAAAAAATCCGCTGAGAAAATGTACAATTTTTGGCTTAAAGATATCGATTCATATTGTCTTAAATTCAGTGCAAAAAATTCTGAAAGTCACAATAAATATCCGCTGCTAAAATCCACAAAGTTTAATCCAAAAATAACTTTCCATAAATTGTTTTAAATTCAGTAAAAAAATACTGTAAGTCACAATTAACATCTGTTGAGCAAATGCAAAAAGTTGATCCCAAAATATAGTTTCATAATTGTCTTAAATTTAGTAGAGAAAATACTGACAATTGGAATAAAATTTTAGCAACGAAAATGAGTAAAGTTTTCTTCAAGATGTTGCATCATAATTGTCTTAAATTCAGTAAATATAGTCGTTGACAGTTTCCAAAAATTCGTTGTCAAAGATGATAAAATTTTCTTTTGAAAGTGTCGAAGCAATTTGTCTTAAATTCAGTACAAAAAATACTGGAATTCACAACAAAAATTCTAGGGAAAGATTCAGCAAAAGTTTATCTCAAAAATGTTGCATCGTAATTCAGTTAGTTTAACAAATTAAATCCTTGGTAGCAAGAAAGAAATCATTCTGATTGAACAGACGTTTCAGCTTAAAATGAGATACTTTAAATTCTAAAAAGAAGATTTTCCAATTTTTCTTCAGTGTTTCGGTAAGTTTCGGTAATCCTCTCAAAGGAATACAATTCCTTTCCAGTTTAAAATCGATTTCCACCGTGTCGTCATATTCGCGTCGGGAAGGGACTACTGCTCTCGACAATCTTCAAATTCTTGACAAATTTCGGCGCTACAATAGGCGTTGTCTTCGAACCAATTGGTATACTCGCATCGGGAAAGATATACTCCCCAATAGGTGGCGCGCCACCGAAACTATTTTCGAAACCCTTATGACCGTGCGAATGATGTAAATGTTTCTCAAACTCATGATGATGATGATCCTCGTGATGCTTGTGATGATGATCCTCATGATGCTTGTGCTTGTGATGATCGTCATGATGATGTTTGTGGCCATGATGATGATCGTGCTTGTGTTTGTGTCCCTCGTGATGTTTATGATCCTCATGATGCTTGTGGTGTTCATGATGATCGTGATGATGTTTGTGGTCGTGTCCGTGTTTGTGTTCCTGTTTGTGATGATGTCCGTGTTTGTGATGCTCGTGATGGTGGTGCTTGTGATCCTCATGGTGATGGTGTTTGTGGTCCTCGTGATGATGATGGTGGTGGTCCTCCTTATGTCCGTGTTTGTGGTGATGACCGTGCTTGTGGTGATGGTCTTCGTGATGTCCGTGTTTGTGGTGTTCGTGGTGACCGTGCTTGTGGTGTTCGTGATGTCCGTGTTTGTGGTGGTGTCCGTGCTTGTGATGGTGGTCTTCGTGGTGGCCGTGTTTGTGGTGATGGTGGTGTCCGTGTTTGTGTTCCTCGCCGTGCTTGTGTTTGTGTTCCTCGTGGTGGCCATGGTGGTGTTTCTCGTGGTGTCCGTGTTTGTGGTGATGGTGGTGACCGTGATGGTGTCCGTGTTTGTGACCGTGTTTGTGTTCCTCTTTGTGCTCGTGACCGTGGTGGTGGTGGTGACTTTCTTTTTCTTTGTGGGTGTGATGGTGGTGGTGTTCGTTGACGTGGTGATGATCGTGGTGGTGATGGTGCTCGTTTTTATGGGCGTGTTTGTGGTGGTGATGGTGTTCGCCGTGATGTTTGTGTTCCTCGTGGTGTTCGTGTTTCGAGTGGTGTTCGTGATGGTGACCGTGGTGATGTCCGTGGTGGTGACCGTGCTTGTGACCGTGTTTGTGTCCGTGTTTGTGATCATGGTCGTGTTTGTGGTGCTGATCGTGGTGGTGTTTGTGACCCTCGTGGTGTCCGTGTTTGTGGTGGTGATGGTGGTCGTGTTTGTGGTGATGATCGTCGTGGTGTTTGTGATGGTGACCGTGTTTGTGGTCGCCTTTGTGATGATGACCATGTTTGTGGTGATGATGGTGACCGTGTTTGTGTCCGTGATGATGGTGGTGGCCGTGTTTGTGATCGTGTTTGTTGTCGTGTTTGTGACCATGTTTGTGATGGTGGTGAGCGTGATGATCGTGATGGTCGTGATGACCATGATGACCATGATGTTCGAAAGTGTTGTAATGATTGCGACTTATTTTCAAGCCTCCGATTTCTGGTGAGTCATTGTTTTTTAGATCAAAGTCGATTGGCACTGGTGATTCCAGAGGCGAATTGTCATCAAAACCGCCAATGAAGTCATCGAGTTGTCTTTTTTGATGACTACCGAATTGTTTCTCAGTTTTTAATTGCCTTATTGTTCGTGGTTGTTCTGTTGATAAGATTACAGGCTGAGCTGGTTCTAGAATTGTCGCTTTTGGATCTAGTCCAGCTGCCAAACCGGCTGCTGCTAATAGCCCGAGGACCCATATTGATGTCTGCAATAACAATTGTTCGCATTTTTATTATTTTGTTTTTACTTTAATTCTATGAAAGGAAAAATTCTCCGATTTTAAGAGATTTTTTAAATCTTGTATTCTTTGCTAGATTGTATCATTGATCATTAACAAAACCTTAAAAAAAATTCTACCGTTTCAATCATAATACATTTTTTAAAAATAATCTCCCATTGGATTTAATTATTATATTAAAAGTATCAATTTTAATTATCAATTAAAATTACCAATTACAATTATTAATTTTTATTTAAGTAAATATAACAGATACAGAATTTACAAAAATATAAAAATATCACTAGCCTAAATAATAACAATATCAGACTTTCGATTATTTACTAAAGTGAAAAACACTTGTTGATTATGGTGCGTACTAGGAAATAATCCGGCGTCAATTCTAAGTACAATTTTAATCATTATCTATCATAAAAAAGTCATTTGAAAAATGAATTCAGTCAGAAGTGGTAACTGCATTTTCTAATGCACTCTTTGTTGACGAGAGATGACACGAAGGTAAATAAAAGTTGAGCGACTATAAAATTCGTGCGTATAACATTTTACCCAAGATTGCATGCAGGTGCGTGTAAGAAGAATCTTCTAAAAGTCTCTGTTTATCGTAAATTTTTGAATTTATCACCAAAATTCGAGGGAAATTCTTTGGAGATTGCCACTGGAATTGATACACTTTCCTCGGGGAAAACAGTGTCGGGTTGAAAACGATCACCAAAATTTCCATTGGCTTGGATAAGATGTTCCTCGAATGCATGATGTTCATGACCGGCGTGATGTTTGTGATGTTGATCCTCGTGATGATGATGCTTGTGGTGATTGTGATGATTGTGACCGTGTTTGTGACCATGATGACCATGGTGCTTGTGTTTCTCGTGATGTTTATGATCCTCGTGGTGCTTGTGGTGTTCGTGATGACCGTGACCGTGTTTGTGTTCGTGACCATGTTTGTGCTCTTGTTTGTGATGATGACCGTGTTTGTGATGATGGTGTTCATGATGTTTGTGATGTTCATGATGTTTATGATGGTGATCCTCCTTGTGCTCGTGTTTGTGTTCCTCGTGATGCTTATGATGGTGGTCCTCCTTGTGCTCGTGTTTGTGTTCCTCGTGATGCTTATGATGGTGATCCTCCTTGTGCTCGTGTTTGTGTTCCTCGTGATGACCGTGTTTGTGCTCTTCATGATGTTTGTGATGATGATGTTGATGATGACCATGTTTGTGCTCCTCATGGTGACCGTGTTTGTGTTCATGTCCGTGTTTATGGTGATGATCCTGGTGGTGGTGGTGTTTGTGCTCTTCATGATGTCCGTGTTTGTGTTCCTCGTGATGATGATGCTTGTGGTCTTGCTTGTGCTCGTGTTTGTGTTCCTCCTTGTGCTCGTGACCGTGATGATGGTGGTGACTTTCGGTTTCCTTGTGGGCATGATGGTGATGATGTTCGTTGTGGTGGTGATGATCGTGATGATGATGGTGTTTATTGTGATGGGCGTGTTTGTGGTGATGATGATGTTCACCATGGTGCTTATGATCTTCATGATGCTCGTGTTTCGAGTGGTGATGATGTCCGTGCTTGTGGTGCTCATGATGACCGTGTTTGTGATGATGGCCGTGCTTATGACCGTGTTTGTGATGATGACCATGCTTGTGATCTTCATGGTGATGGTGACCATGCTTGTGATGATGTCCGTGCTTGTGGTGCTGATGATGGTCGTGTTTGTGATGATGATGGTCATGATGTTTGTGTCCATGGTGGTGTTTGTGATCGGCTTTGTGGTGATGTCCATGTTTGTGATCGTGATGATGTCCATGGTGATGATGATGGTCATCGTGGTGTTTGTGTTTGTGATCGTGTTTAGAATGATGGTGGTGACCATGTTTATGATGATGAGCCGAGTGGTGGTGATGTCCGTGATGATCAAGATGACTGAGAAAGGTTCTTATGGTTGGCTGTGGTAAATTTTCCTCCTGATGAGAACTGATTCCATTTCCTCTGAGGAATAGCGGAGCCAATCCGCCCTCGTGAACTCCTTTTTGTTGGAAGGGCAACGCCTGGGAGAGACTTTGCCTCAATTTACCGAGATGATGACCTAATTGTCGTCTTTGGCTGTTTTTTTCGTTTCCAAATAGAAACGAAGGGATTTTCGATTTGTGAACCGGTTTCGCTGAATTGTAACCAAGTGGTTGGGAAAATTGAAACTTCGAGTTCTTTGATCTTGGATCTTCGCTAGCTATCAGGTCACTCGCTGCTAGCAAACCAAGGACCAGCAGCCACTTCTGTAATGGTAACGTACGATTTTCTTTAGAATGAATTCGAATATTTAAATTTTAGTAAATATTTTATTTAAATTGATATATTAACCTGTGAGTGTCAAATGTTGAGTGATAGTGTCGAGTGTGCTGATAATTGTTGCGTTTATGTTGTTTCTCACTTTACTATTCACTTCACGTAACGATTTTTGTTGTTGTATTGTTTTGCACTGTAGACTACTTTTAGTTTTTAATTTTACACTCGTTTCTACCTTTTTTGTATAAAACATTCTTAATTCTGAATTTGTAAAAAAGTTGTTCATTTTGTGGAAGAATTAAAAATTAAAATATATCCATTTAGGAATAAAAGATTTTTTAATTTAGAAATTAGAAGGTTGTAGGTTTAGTTTGAAAATAAATTATTACTACAATTTCAAATACGTCATAAATTTTTATACAAATAATATATTTACATATGTTACAATTTAATAACTACAATATCTAATTTACTAACTACAAATTTTTTAAAGGTAAATTTACTAACTACTAGTCTACTATCTGTAAATTTACTAACTACTCATTTATAAACTGTAAACTTACTAACTACGAATTTATTAACTACAAAACTAACTAACAATTTACTACCTACAGTGTATCAAATTTACTGAAAACAACAGTTTTTTAACAGCAATTGAAAGCAACTGAGTCAGGAAAAAATATTTATTACACTTACCATTAAAAAAATCTAATTGTAAAAAAAACTGTAATAATAATTCATTACATGAAAAGATGCTCGACTTCTGTAAAAATAATAAGTAGAATCTGATTTATAGTTTCTTTTATTAAAAATTTTAATGACAGATTTGAAATGTATTTATTGTAAGGAATGTACTGAACTTGTATCAAAGAATAAAATTAAACTTCAGTCAATAAGTTAAAGTAACTTGAAATCGGCTAATAATAGGTAACTAGTACAAAAGTATTGGCAATCAATATGATAGCAGTAGTTTATAATTCATATTTCCTCTCGACAAGAAAACTACTGCAAGGGTAAAACTGCATCTTTTCATATATATTCAATAAAATAATACAGAAATTTCTCCACTCTCAGTTTGTCATAAATTTAAATTAATAAATAATTGAAATAATTATTTATTAATAGAGAAAATTAAACGAGTTATTTATTAAGAAAATAATTAAATTAGTTAGTTTAGTTGATAAAATAACTAAATTAATTACTTATTAATAAAATAAGCAAATTATTTATTAATAAAATAATAATTATTTTAAATAAAATTTTTCTCCAAGTGCAGTTGGTACAGAAATATTATATAAAAGAAAAATTGACAAAAATTCATGTCTCGAAATAAATTCTAAAATGGTAATGTAATTTCAGTTTTCTACCTTTAACTTTTAACTCGAATAATAAAGGCACTATTCTTCTTTGCTGGTTTAACTTTTGTTGGGTTAATAGAGGTTCGGTTAAGAGAGGTTGTTACAGTAATTGGTGCGTTTGTAGTTACGGAAGCGGATACAATGGATGAACTTGCTACAAGAGGTGTCCTTTCTATATTGGGTGCGCTTGCTACAATTGGTGCACTCTCGTCAGGAAGAATGTATTCGGCAGAACCACTCGCGTACGAAGCAAAATTATTATTATCATTATTCAGTAAATAGGGATTATATTTTCCAAGAAGATCGTTGATATTTATTCCTGAATAAGTTGGATGAATAAGCTCGTGATATTTCTGATGGTGATTATGACCGTGTCCGTTGTAAAGACTATGTCCATTGTGATGTACACTCTGGTGATTATGATGTTCATTTTGATGATTATGTCCATGATTATGTCCATGAGTATGTCCGTGGTGATTTTTATGTTTGTGGTCATGTTCATGATCATGATTGTGATGATGATTGTGCCCCTCGTTATGTTTATGGTTCGCTTCGTGTTTGTGCTGTTCGTGATGATGGTGCTTATGCTCATGATCGTGTTTGTGATCCTCTTTATGCAGATGTCCGTGTTTGTGACTCTCGTGATGTTCGTGTTTGTGATTTTCCTGATGTTGGTGTTTGTGATTCTCGAGATGCTGGTGCTTGTGGTCCTGGTGATGTTCGTGTTTGTGCTCCTCCTGGTGGGCGTGATGATGCTTGTGCTGGTGCTCCTCGTCATGGTCGTGTCGATGAGCCTCTTGGTGTTCGTGTTTGTGCTCCTCGTTATGATCCTCCTTGTGTAGGTGTTCTTGTTTGTGGTGGTGAAACTCGAGGTGTCCGTGTTTGTGCTCCTCTTGATGAGCGTGCTTGTGGTCGTGTTCGTGATTCTGTTGGTGCTGCTCCTTGTGCTCGTGTTTGTGGTCCTCGTGGTGATCGTGTTTGTGTTCGTGGCCGTGGTGGTGTTGGTGCTGCTGTTGGTGCTCGTGTTTGTGGTTCTGTTCGTGCTCGTGACCGTGGTGGTGGTGGTGTGTTTCGGTTTCCTTGTGAGTGTGGTGATGATGATGTTCGTTGTGGTGGTGGTGTTCGTGGTGATGATGGTGCTCGTTGTGGTGGGTGTGTTTGTGATGGTGGTGGTGCTCGGCGACGTGTTTGTGCTCCTCGTGGTGTTCGTGTTGGGAGTGGTGTTGATGACCGTGGTTGTGATGATGGCCGTGCTCGTGTTTGTGATCGTTTTGATGGTTGTGAGTGTGTTGGTGATTGTTGTCGTGTTTGTGATCGTGAGTATGTTGCTCGTTGTGGTTCTCCTCGTGAGTGTGATGGTGATCTTGATAGTGACCATGTTTGTGGTGATGATGGCCTTGGTGATGATGACCGTGGATATGATTCTGCTGACTCGTATGACCATGTTTATGGTTGTAGTCATAATAGGTGTACTTGTAACCCTTATCGGTGAGTGAATTGTCTTTAAAAATATCATTCAGTTGATTGTTTTTGTGATAGTAGCCATAGTCGGCGTAATGTTTTTGGTTCTGTTGGTAATTGTTGGCGGTGATTTTATGGTTGTACCAAGGCATGGGTTCGTAATAGTAGTGATTTCTTTTCTTGATAATATCGGGTTTTGCGGTCACTGACAACTTTGCAGTTGGAGTGTAGTTTGCCTTGAATAACATGGATTTAAAGCCTCGTTGATATGGTCCTGGCGTTACGAAAGAAAGGGTTCGATAATTCCCAAGTCCTAAATGACCCAGCTGTCGCTTGTAGGAAATATTTTTGGGTGTTTGAATAATATTGTAAAATGGTTGTTGCTTCCTGAGATGAATGATTGGTTGAAGTTGTCTAGGTGCTCTTAGTGTTACTATTTCTACAATTGGATGCTGCAATGACTTCTTATTTATCATTGTAAGTTCTTGAGCAGTTGTTTGGCACGCAGTAGCCAGAAGTGCCAGGATTAGAAACCATGCCTGCAATAGTGATATTTGTTGTAGCTATAATTAACTAAAACACATTTCATCTATTGAAAATACAATACTTAATCATCTACTTCTATAAATACCAAATATTTATAAAATTACCAAGAATATTTATAAGATTACCAATTATTTCTAACTTTACCAAATATTCCCAAAAGTATACCAAATATTTCTAAGAGTGCTATAAAATGCTCTACCGAATTGATTAAAATTAGTAACAAAACTTAATAATAAATGTGATAGTGTCGTGTCATTAACGAGATATCAAATTTCGAATTACAGTATTTAATAATTAATTAAATACATAAATTAACTACTCAAGCTACTATTTTTTTTTGTTGCTCTAAATGCTGATTGACAATCAAGAAATGATTTACAACTTACCCCAATAGTGTAAACTCGTCCTTAAAGTGATTAAAGTTGAAAATCTCCAACAATACTCAAGAAATAATTTTTCACATTTTCGATAATTGAAATTAAAAATTAAAAACTTGTTTAAGAATTATTTTTTTGCTTAATTCACTTTCGGACAGGTTCACTCTACATTTATATATTTTTCAAATTTGTTTATCAAATTATTAAAAAAAGTAATAATAATATTATTATTATTATTAATAATAATATTACTATTATTATTAATAATAATATTACTATTACTATATTAAAATATTATTAATAATATTTTGTATTAATAAGAATATATTAATAAAAATATATTAAAAATATAAATGATTAAAAACTAGTTTATAGAAATTCCACGAAAAAATTTACACCGGAATTTTATAAGTAAATTTATTAAGATTTGAATAAAATGCAAATTCTTATATTCACGTTGTGTTTTAAACGGAAAGAGTATCCCATGTACAGTATATAAATGTGTTAGAAACGATGATTTCAATTATAAAATATATATAGAATCAACACTCTGATGAGGGACTTTAATGAAATAAAGTTTCCTCTGAAAATCACTTTCTCGAAAATTAAATTTTCATCCGGCGCTGTACTCAATTAATTTAATCAAAAAATACATTTCATACTGTTGAAACTAGATGGCTTTAAATAAAATACAATATTATTAATAATTTAACGTATTTTACTTAAAAGGAGAGTGGAATTTAATTATTTGGAGAAAGAAGAACATTAAGTTCTTGGCATATTTATTTATTATTCAATGAATATTATTGATTGTAATTAATTTTATTTTTAACATTTTTTATTTTATAATTATTAACCTTTTTTGTAATTAATAATTGTAATTAATATTGTTCATTAATATTATTAATTGATTAATATTATTCGTTAATATTATTAATTACGGTTTCATTTTGAAAATACTTTTTCGATTCGCATTTGTGTGTTGTAATTGCCGCTTCGTCTCATTGATTTTCGAGCGGAATAATTAGAAAGAAAAGTTTTAAAAGACGAAAGTAAAACTCTTGATAATGAAGAGTAATAACGGAAGTGATAATATTTTCACAATTTCTGCTATAAACCGAAGAGTAATTATAAAACGAACCGAAACATTTGAACAATATTGTATTGTGTAAGTTTATTTTATTGCTATCAAGATTTTTATTGGCGAAAGTAGTAGTGGTAGTGGTGATGATGATAGTAATAATAATAATGATAATAGTCGAAGTAGTAGTAGTAGTAGTTTTGTAGGAGAGTAGAAGTAGTAATAGTAGTTGTAATCTTTGATTATTATTACTGATGGAAAGTGAACGGTACTAAAATGATAAAAAAAAGACACAGATTTTTTTTTCTTCCACATAATTGTTACTCCCTCGCTCTTCGCTTGAACAGTTTGCACTAAAAACCCTTTTCCTTGTGATTGTAACAGCAATTTTGAGATTGTGTAAACGATTATTATTAAATTTTAATAGGATTCCGCATTTAATTATGTTAATTTTATACAATGTTTGTTTGACCCTATATAAAATATTATGTCCAGCGTTATCCCTTATAGTATCAGTTGTTGAAAATCTTGATTTTGTTTTTGTACGTAAATTATGTCTGTGGTAATATCTTTTGGGGGGATAAATATTTATATGGAATATATTATACTTTTAGATATTATGTAATCAGTTTTTTTCACTTTGACAATTATTATTCTTATTTTTTTCAAAGAATGAAAAATCTCTTTCTTTTTGTTGAGCTTGCTCATTGTTGAGCTTGCTCAACAATTTCTACAGAATGAGATTTTTATTATTTTTATTGAGATTAAAAAAATAGTTTTTACATATTTGCTATAAAACACTATCAATATGTTTATTATAAATTTTTTTAAATAATAATTGTCGTTTTAGATTTTTATTTTAAGATTTTAATCACTCAATTTTTTATTGTATTTAGAATCATAAAAAAATAAAAAGGGACCTTGCAGCTTGTTTTTGAAAATTGATTTAAAGAAAAAAAAATTCACAAAATCTACAATTTAAAATTTATTTCTGAAAATATTTTTGAAAATCGAAATTAATAACTTAATTGTGAATATTTTTAATATTTATTTTTAATATTTATTTTTGAAAATTAATTTCAAAAAATATTTTGCAAAATACATTTTAAAATTAATTTTGGAAAATATTCTGCAAACGTCATATCCGAAAACTGATTTCAGGAAGTATTTTAGAAAATATTTTTCAATATTTATATTTGAAAATCAATTTCAAGAAATATTTTACGAAATTCACATTTCGAAGTTAATTTTAATAATTTGTTTTTTAAAATTAATTTTTTTAAATTGTTTACGGAAAACATTTTACAAAATTATTTTTTTAAATTGTTTACGTAAAACATTTTACAAAATTATTTTTTTTTTAATTTGATGACGAAAAGCAATTGGAAAATTAAATTTTTTTGAATAAATTGAAATTAAATTCAATTGAATTCAATTAAATTCAAAAATTAAAATTAATTTTTAGAAACTAATTTGCAAAATTATTTAAAATTGACTTGCATAATTTTTCCGACTGGAAATCAATTTTTTGTTTTAAAAATTCACACCCTTGTCATATTAATATCACTTATAGTTTAAATAATTTGTCATTGATAAAATATATTATGAGTACAGGTTATTTTTAAGTTTAATGTTTCTTAAAATTCGTCAGTTATATTTTTGTCTCTCGCAAAATCGGATAAAATGTCATTGTTAAGCTTCCTTTTACCTTGGAACGGAATTCATTATTTGACAAGGTATCATTGAATATTATTTCAATAACTATTGTTATTTTAATAACGATCGATTCGAACTACATTCGAGAAGTTTACACTAATTATTCACTTGAGTTTATATTTAAAGTTCGGACAAGAAACTGGATAAATAAAAAAAATAATTAGAAAATTAATTATTCTTTATTCTTTATTAATTAACGTTCAATAATAAATTAATAATGAATGTAATGAATTAATTATTTATTTAAATGAGAAATTAATAATTAATAAAATAATAAAATAATTAAATAATTAAATAAAATTATTTAATTGATAAAGACAAAAACAGAAAAATCACACGAATAGAAATTAGTTTTTAATTTTTGATGGTAATTTGGAAGGAGTAAATGAAATTTTGTCCGATTTCCGGTAATCCAAAATGGCACCACTGAAACTTACCCACGTAGCCATGTCGCCGTGTTTGGGGTGCAGCCAGCGAACAACTGGATGCCAAATATCGTGGACAATCAACTTTTATAGACAACTATTGCTCACGGGGTACTTTCTTCCGTGCTAAGGTACCAATGTCGTTTACGAGGCGACAAATATCTTAATTGTCGTCATAATGCGCGTCGAACCGGGACCAAACTTAAGACCACTGGGGGAAAGGGAGATAAAGCAAAAAGCAAAAAAAAAATCATTCATTCATTCATAATTATTATTATCATTATATTCCACTACTGACCAGATTCTCAAAAAAGGATTACACGATTTTTATTATGTTCGCACAAACGGAAATAATTCACTTTAGAAATCATTTATTACGTGAAGTAAGAATTTTTGTAAAAATTTGGTATTTATTTCCGTGTTTTATTAAATAATATATTATTTATTTTGTTTGAGATTTAATATTTTTTTTCTTGTCATATTTCAATTCTTATGAAAGAAAAATAAGATATATTAAAGGGATTCATTGGTTGCCTCCTTGTTTTTATGGATTTGTATCTCTAGACGAACAAAACATTGATGTGTAGCTATAAATAATTTTATTGATATTAAAAAAAAATAATGTTTCGTTTGGATTTTCTTACAGCATTTTGTGTCTAATATATCCCGCGGGGAGAATAAATACATTGAGAGGGAAATTATTTTTTTTAAATCTGAAAATTATGTGTGGAGATAGAATTTTTTATTGTTGTCAAATGATGTAAGATTTGAGAAAAATATTGTGTTAATATTGCATGAAACAATGTTGATAATATTACTTGAAAATATTAAGACAATATTCCATGGCAATATTGCTAATATTGCATAGCAATATTACTAACATTTCCTGAAAATATTAATGCAATTAATTTCTGGTAATCTCTCTAAATTTAAATAAGTGAATGACATTTTTTAAAATTGATAACGAAAATATTTTGTAAAATCCACATTTTAAAATTAATTTTGGAGTTTGCAATATTAATTTTTTTAAAGTACTTTATGACAATATTTTACAAAAGTAATTATATGAAATAGTTTGTCAATGATTTTAGAAAATTCACAATTCAAAATTAATTATGGAAAATATTTTTGCAATATTTAATCTTTATAACTGATTTCGAAAAATATTTTACGAAATTACAGATTTTGAAATTAGTTTTCGAAACTATTTGTAATATTCTATTTTTAAAATTCATTTCGTAAAATAATTTAAAAAATATTTTTAAATATTTTGTAAAATTCACTTTTAAAATTTTGTTTTCGGAAAATAGTTTAGAAATTATTCTACTAAATAGACATTTTAACATTTATTTTGGAAAATATTTTGGATAATCCACTTTTTAAAATTCATAATGGGAAATACTTTTACATCCACATTT